CCCGAGACAAAGAAACACATTACCAACATCTTACCTTATTATTCCAAGCACTAGGAAAAGAGACGATTAAGTTAAACTTTGAAAAATGTGATTTCCTGAAACAAAAAAGTCGAGATTTTGCATCGATTATCGAAAATTGAACATAGTGACAATACCTGATCGTTACCCAATGCCTCGGATCGACGATATCATTGATAAGTTGTTTGGTAGTAAATACTTCAGCTTATGTGATATGAGGTCAGGTTTCTGGCATATGAAAGTTAAAAGTGAGGATATTATTAAAACGGCGTTTGTTACCCAAAACGGCCATTATGAATGGACAAGAATGCCTTTTGGTTTCAAAAATTGTCCAGCTATTTTCCAACGAACAATCAGACTAATAATTGAAAAACATGCATTGACTGATTTTTGCCACAATTATATCGATGATATAATAGTTTATTCCCGAGACAAAGAAACACCTTACCAACATCTTACCTTATTATTCCAAGCACTAGGAAAAGAGACGATTAAGTTAAACTTTGAAAAATGTGTTTTCCTACAAACAACAGTAACTTATCTTGGGCATCAAATATCATTCAATCAAATCGCTCCAATTCACAATAACATTGAGTCAATCACAAAATTATCTCCACCCAGCAATATAACGGAATTGCGGAGGTTTTTGGGAAAGATAAATTATTACCATAAATTTATTCAAAACGTTGCCAAATATTGGCACCATTACATCGTCTATTGAAAAAAGATGCTAAATTTGAATGGTCTAAAGAGTGTCAAACTGTTTTTGAAGAAATCAAATGTAAACTGTCTCGAAAACCAATTTTAAACATTTACAATCCAGAGGAAATGTGTGTATTACAAACTGATGCTTCAAAATTAGGGATAGGAGCTGTACTAAAACAGCTTGGAAGTGATGGTGAATATCATCCGATCGGTTATTTTAGCAAAAAGTTAACAAATTATCAAATTAATTATCCAATTACACAGCTCGAATGTTTAGCAATTATTGAATCAATCAAATTT